ACCATGTCCAACTGTCATAAAAGAAAAAAAAATAAACGTTTTTGTTCTGTGTGTGTGTGTGCATAGATGTGACTGGAGTGGTTACGTCCATTAATGATGCGTTTAATAACGACTCCGCGTCACCGTAAGGGAGGGTGCCGAGAACGTGACGTTAAAAAAAAGGGTCTGAAATAATATTATTCTACGACATTATAACATTATGTTTTTTCGTCTATATAGGCACCAAACAGTTGTTAATCATAATATTATTCGTATATTGTTATACATATATACAATGTTCATCAAACTTGTTTATTATAGTATTCCTATAATAACTATGTAAGTACCCAAGGATAGTGGGAAATTCGTTTCCGTTTTACAAGGCTAAATCGGTTTGACAAAGCCACGCAAAGGTATAACAGAGTATTAAATTATAATTTTTTTTTCTTGATAATATGCATCATAGATATAGTATTTAAATATATAAATGGCTTCAAATTTATTCAAAAAAAAAAAAAATATTCAAACAAGTACTAATATTTCTATGGATTACAGCCCACAGGCACTTGCTAGGTTTGAAAACAAGGCACAACGAAATCGTCGTTGTCTATATTAGCGTTCGTATTACTGGATCGCAGCCCGGTTAAAGAATGCAGATGGGCTGGGTCCATGGCATTAAATGACACATTTCTCTAATAAGTATGCGTTTACGTTGATAATTATTTATGACTCACAATATATCCTATAGGCACATACTACATAGTATACCTAATATTGATAAATTGAGCACCGTTATGCAGTATCATTTAGTATAGTGATCATTAGTGGATCCATCCCGTAGTCATACGGTATGAGTGATAGGTCAATGGGTATTTACCCATTAATATTTTATTTATCTATCCAAATAAAAATTCTATTTTTAAAAATAGAAATATTGTTTTAACATAATCATTGATATACTCGAAACTCGCCAAAGCCCGTCCCACCAGTTTTAGCAAGTTGTAATTAATCATTAATGTAATGCAAATGCAAGTTGTGAATTAAAAATATAAAATAAAAATAGATTTGTTTTAATACTTCTCTTTATAGACTTTCAATTTTCATGACTGTTGTTCAATAGGTTTAAATTTAAATTTTGAAAATTTGAAAAATTGTTTATTGTTGTGCGAATTATTTATAAACACCAATAAAATACCCTGAATATTTACCCGATAAACAGTGGCGTATTTACGGGGGGGGTCCCCGGGTCTGGACCCCCCCCAGAAAAAAATATAATATAATATAATTATTACATCGTAACTCGTATGTGTTTTTTTATATTATAAACTTGTAGGTACCTAATATTTAGACCCCCCCCCAGAAAAAATTTCAAAATACGCCACTGCCGATAAATACCCATCACTCCAGTCGCATACCCCGTGCCAGCATGCAAGGTGTATCCCTTACACCTCCCTAACTTTGTTAGTAAAAGTGTTTTATTTTTTTTTATTTTATCAACCCAAGTATTAAACAATAATTAATAATATTATATATTATTAAGATTAAGGTATAGGTATATTTAAAATTTAAATACATAAGTTAATAAGAATATAAATTAATCCGATGTAAATAAACTTGTTGATTAGATATTATTTAGACCCCTGCCACCCCTCCATACAAATCTTGGTCCAGCTACTGTTCTGACCCGTTCTCTCTCGGAAACTCAAAAAAAAAAAAAAACTAACTGCAAAATCGAGGATAACGAATGATATTATCATAATGTGTTACGTGTTGCGCTCGTAAATTCGCAGGTCCTACCCTATGTCCTATACCGTCATTTTTTGTCTTGTACATTTGTTTTGTAGTCGGAAATCACTCTCCATCGATAGGTTCGTTAGCGCACATTTTACGATAATATTTTATGACGATATCTAATAAATTCCCTCGGTGGTGGAATATAAATTACGCCGATTAATTACGTACGTGTCTCCAGCCCCCCCACATTCGAATTTTCCAATTTTTTTTTGGCAAATAATTAGCATGCAATTAGCATGTATTTGCATGCTAATTTTTGTAATTTGCATGCGTTTTATTTAGGCGTGGTATCAAAAAATAGGTGGGGGGGCTGTAGACACGTGTCTCCGACCCCCCCACACATCATAAAAACTTTTTTTCAAATTTTTTTTTACGCCAATATTTAGCATGTAATTAGCATGAATTTGCACGACAGACCCCGAAACTCTATCGTAATCCGTTGCTTCGCAATACTCATTTTTCTGATTTGCACGTGTCCCCAGCCCCCCACTTTGGGAAATACTTGGAAATTCAAAATCGTTTCTACGCCAATATTTAGCATGTAATTAGCATGCATTTGCACGACAGACCCCGAAACTCTATCGTAATCCGTTGCTTCGCAATACTCATTTTTCTGATTTGCACGTGTCCCCAGCCCCCCCACTTTGGGAAATACTTGGAAATTCAAAATCGTTTCTACGCCAATATTTAGCATGCAATTAGCATGTATTTGCATGCTAATTTTTGTAATTTGCATGCGTTTTATTTAGGCGTGGTATCAAAAAATGGGTGGGGGGGATGTAGACACGTGTCTCCGACCCCCCCCTACACATCACAAAAACTTTTTTTCAAATTTTTTTTTACGCCAATATTTTGCATGTAATTAGCATGTGTTTTCTCGGCTATCGAGTTTAAATACATTTTATACCTTAGTTTTTAACTTTTTAAAATTAATTTTATTCAAAGAAATGGCCTTTTTCTTACATGTAAATAAAAACAAACTTATAATAAAAAATCAACATATTAAATTGTATAAAATAAAAATTCACAATTGACTTTTGTTGTGCTTTTTACGGGAATGGGTTTTTTTCTGAGATCATCAAATATTTCCCAATTATTTGATGCCCCTCTCTTCACGTATGATTTGTAGTGTCCAACTGAGTTTCTTAATTTACTTTTTCCAGGTATAAAACTTATGACACCTCTAAGCTCAAATGTTCGATTTACATTGCATAATACTTGTGGAATGTCACATAGTCTGATCTGTACAATCTTTGCAGCTTCTGTACTATGTTGTCGACTCATATTTAAATCGTCCTCTAAAATAAAGTTATTGTTAATAAGTTATTAATTAATATAATTTTAAGATAGCACATTGAATTCAATTTATATAGATCTATACGTATATATAAGGTGTAACAGAATGACTTGAAAAATAAAATAAAATTGTTTTAATCTATATAAAAAATAATAAAAGTTTTAATATGATTTTTAGACGTATACGTGCAGTACACATTTTTTTATTTTTTAATCCTTTATATATGTCATGGAGTTTATTTTTTTAAATTGTTCTCATTATTTATCTGAATTAATAATTAATTCAAAACGTAATAATGTTTTTCAGACATAAATAAATTTCATATTATTTATTATTTTTATAATTTTAATTTTTTTTTAATACGTTTAACTTGTATCATTTTTCCATTTTTTATTTGTTAGGTTTTTCTGATATATACGCTAAACAGTTTTAAATATCAAATTATATGCAATTATTTTGTATATTAAAATGTTCTTACTTTCCCAAACTAAAATGTCAATGAACAAATGCATGTCCGATAGATTAGTTGATATTACTGAATTACAGTTTTCAATGCATTTTGAATAATCTGATATAATTCTATTGTCTAAATATGTTTGAAGTCCTTCAAATAGTTTACTGCTGTTGACTTGATAAGTAAGAAACATGATATTATTATTTTGAATATTTTTTGTTCTTATACATGTTTCGTTTGAACATGTTTTAGTCTCTATGGCTGTAGGGAAGTCATCCAACATTTTTTTTATCACATGTCCAGCTGTTGTGTCACAAACAGCTAATGTAACATCATAGTCTAGCGATTGTATGTTGACATCCATATAATTTATAATTAAATTAGCTCTTTCTGAATAAGTCGATGATTTAATTCCATATTTGACAACATTAGTTATAAAATTTAAAAACTGATTTTTTTGAATGTCAACTTTTTCAGCATACCTTTTACTATCACAATAAGACACCTAAAAATATTAAATTAACAATCATAAATCTATTCAATAAGTAATTAAACATTTATTTTATAAGATCAGATCGATAATCTAAATTTATAAATATTTTAGTAAAGTATTGATTATTTATAGGGCTGTGAATTTAATGCACTAAAAAACCTTAAAAAAAAGCATTAAAAATGACAAAAATATGCAATATTATACGCACTTAAAATGCAAAAAATGCAATATAAACTAAAATATTGAAATATCCAATTGGTTATTAAAATGGTTAAGGTGTGATGTGCCACAACCAAAGTATACAGTGTGTGATCAATCATTAGCCCTTTAGTCTGCTATTGTCCAGTGTTTTACCCAATATTCATCACTCCATGATTTTGACTTTTTTTTAGTAAACCAACTGTACGAAGCACCATTTCCTTGGCTAATCTGGTAATATTTTTTAGAGGTATCCATTTGCTCGCTAATTTAACAAAATGAGCTACATCAACTCTCACGAAACATCTTGGAATATAATGCGAATCTACAGTAATGCCTTTTTTGAGTAACTCTGCACAAACTGTTAAGTAATCATGGAGTGATGAATATAACCAATTGGATATTTCAATATTTTAGTTTATATTGCATTTTTTGCATTTTAAGTGCGTATAATATTGCATATTTTTGTCATTTTTAATGCTTTTTTTAAGGTTTTTTAGTGCATTAAATTCACAGCCCTATAAATAATCAATACTTTACTAAAATATTTATAAATTTAGATTATCGATCTGATCTTATAAAATAAATGTTTAATTACTTATTGAATAGATTTATGATTGTGAATGTTAATTTAATATTTTTAGGTGTCTTATTGTGATAGTAAAAGGTATGCTGAAAAAGTTGACATTCAAAAAAATCAGTTTTTAAATTTTATAACTAATGTTGTCAAATATGGAATTAAATCATCGACTTATTCAGAAAGAGCTAATTTAATTATAAATTATATGGATGTCAACATACAATCGCTAGACTATGATGTTACATTAGCTGTTTGTGACACAACAGCTGGACATGTGATAAAAAAAATGTTGGATGACTTCCCTACAGCCATAGAGACTAAAACATGTTCAAACGAAACATGTATAAGAACAAAAAATATTCAAAATAATAATATCATGTTTCTTACTTATCAAGTCAACAGCAGTAAACTATTTGAAGGACTTCAAACATATTTAGACAATAGAATTATATCAGATTATTCAAAATGCATTGAAAACTGTAATTCAGTAATATCAACTAATCTATCGGACATGCATTTGTTCATTGACATTTTAGTTTGGGAAAGTAAGAACATTTTAATATACAAAATAATTGCATATAATTTGATATTTAAAACTGTTTAGCGTATATATCAGAAAAACCTAACAAATAAAAAATGGAAAAATGATACAAGTTAAACGTATTAAAAAAAAATTAAAATTATAAAAATAATAAATAATATGAAATTTATTTATGTCTGAAAAACATTATTACGTTTTGAATTAATTATTAATTCAGATAAATAATGAGAACAATTTAAAAAAATAAACTCCATGACATATATAAAGGATTAAAAAATAAAAAAATGTGTACTGCACGTATACGTCTAAAAATCATATTAAAACTTTTATTATTTTTTATATAGATTAAAACAATTTTATTTTATTTTTCAAGTCATTCTGTTACACCTTATATATACGTATAGATCTATATAAATTGAATTCAATGTGCTATCTTAAAATTATATTAATTAATAACTTATTAACAATAACTTTATTTTAGAGGACGATTTAAATATGAGTCGACAACATAGTACAGAAGCTGCAAAGATTGTACAGATCAGACTATGTGACATTCCACAAGTATTATGCAATGTAAATCGAACATTTGAGCTTAGAGGTGTCATAAGTTTTATACCTGGAAAAAGTAAATTAAGAAACTCAGTTGGACACTACAAATCATACGTGAAGAGAGGGGCATCAAATAATTGGGAAATATTTGATGATCTCAGAAAAAAACCCATTCCCGTAAAAAGCACAACAAAAGTCAATTGTGAATTTTTATTTTATACAATTTAATATGTTGATTTTTTATTATAAGTTTGTTTTTATTTACATGTAAGAAAAAGGCCATTTCTTTGAATAAAATTAATTTTAAAAAGTTAAAAACTAAGGTATAAAATGTATTTAAACTCGATAGCCGAGAAAACACATGCTAATTACATGCAAAATATTGGCGTAAAAAAAAATTTGAAAAAAAGTTTTTGTGATGTGTAGGGGGGGGTCGGAGACACGTGTCTACATCCCCCCCACCCATTTTTTGATACCACGCCTAAATAAAACGCATGCAAATTACAAAAATTAGCATGCAAATACATGCTAATTGCATGCTAAATATTGGCGTAGAAACGATTTTGAATTTCCAAGTATTTCCCAAAGTGGGGGGGCTGGGGACACGTGCAAATCAGAAAAATGAGTATTGCGAAGCAACGGATTACGATAGAGTTTCGGGGTCTGTCGTGCAAATTCATGCTAATTACATGCTAAATATTGGCGTAAAAAAAAATTTGAAAAAAAGTTTTTATGATGTGTGGGGGGGTCGGAGACACGTGTCTACAGCCCCCCCACCTATTTTTTGATACCACGCCTAAATAAAACGCATGCAAATTACAAAAATTAGCATGCAAATACATGCTAATTGCATGCTAATTATTTGCCAAAAAAAAATTGGAAAATTCGAATGTGGGGGGGCTGGAGACACGTACGTCGATTAATTACACAGTCACCGGCGGCGGACATAATGAACTATTAAACGCGCTCGTAATTAAATATAATAATATGTATACAATATATAGGTACGATATCGCTGTTTTTTACGAGCGCCACGTGGGTTTCGACTCGTTATAATATATTATAATATTATGGTAAGCACATAATATTATATATACATATTATTATTATATTATTATACACCCGTATATATACGCACCGGCCACCACGTTTCACTCATTATAAACTCGTGATAAATATCGATCCAATAACCGGACGCGACAATATTATATTAAAGGTAGGTTCCTCTATCTATATACCTACCTAGGACTGACGGTATACCATGAAGTACCGTCTAAACGGTATACCGTGAAAAATCTTACAAAATGCTGTATCGTATAAACCGTAATTTACGGTATAGCTTAAAAAATCTTAAAAAAAAAGTCCGAGGCACTCGGGGACTGCCGCGGTACAGCTGTTGTATAGCAATTTTGCAATTTTGCTATGTAATTATAACTATTTATTTTTGTATGATATTAATTAAAGTTACACTTTTTGAGGGCGACGACCGAAAAGAAAATGACAAAATGAGTTTTTTTTATTGTTGATTGTAGTTGATAAACACCGTACTGGAATATTTTATTTGGGACTTTTTTTTCTTAGACAACTGGTTAGACTGTAAATTACAAAAATAATAATAACATCTTACGGTCACTCTTTTTCGTTACGAAACATTTTTTTTCAGTCCCCACACCAGCTGGCAATAGCTTAAAAAATGGTATAACGTACAAAACGTATGAATGGTAAAGCGAAAAATATATCGGTACTAGGTAGATTTTATTTATTATTTCAGTATACCGTACCGTCTGTTCCATACCGGTATTTCGGTATACCGAAACATTTCAGTTTTTCGGTATGCCTAATCATTTCGGCTTTTTCGGTATACCGTTTCAAACCGGTATTGATTGTAATACCGTAAATTATTTTCAATACCGTCGGCCCTATACCTACCTAATGTAATCGGTGTATCTGAAACTCACGTATGACATTTTTATAATAAAAAAAAAAAACAATTACACAGTTGGATCGCGAAAATCATCGCCTGGACGATATGCGTTTTTCCATAATAATATAATACACATACCTGCTTATATTATTATGTAAGTACAATATATCGCTTGTATAGTGTTCAAAGTGGTGGAGTTTACCGAGGAGATGGGGGGGGGGTGGCATGCCTCCACTTTTTATAATTTACATATTTTTCCGTCTCTCCTGCACTTGTTCTAAGCCATTTCGACCTCTGGTCGCTTGGACATATGATATTAGACGATAATATACTGCTGTAGGTATATGTGTAATATTATGTCCTGTAAATACTCGCAGACCGAAATAAAAAGAGGAAATAATAAAAAAAAAAAACGATCGATACGCGTTTATAGAGCGCAATCACACTGCACGCATTATATTGTGGTACATTAATCGTCGTGTTCCACTCAAGTGTGCGCGCGGCGGCAGTGGCGATCGATGCTTTCTAAACGACTGTGCAGCAGTGCGGCGGCGACGTTAACGGAATAATATATATATATATATAATAGGTACGATACGATATAGGTATAGGTAACCTAATAATATATATAAAATATATGATGCACTCACCGGCGAATAGAATTGCGACCACGTAGTGTCCGGTCGATCTCGATTAAATAAGACGTACGTCGACTAAATTACGATAGTACCTACATAATATAATATAATACACATACTCACATATATATATATATATATATATGTACGCGAGTGGACGACGGCGACGGTGATAATAGTAATATAATAGTCCACGGCGGCTCGTCTATATGTGAAATCTCTGTCTCTCTCTCGACCGACGTGCACACAGCTGGTTTCGACGAGTATACCCTTAAAAAGGAGTGCGCGGCGAGGACATATCGCGGCGTATAATAATGCTACACAAACGTTTATATATAAATATATTATATTATGTTATATTAGTATTATATGTCGAAGGCGAATATAGGATACCGCAAACGCGGTTCGGTTCGTTATTTGATTTGATTTGATTTTTTCTTTTTTTTTTTAATAACGAGCGGTGGCATCACACGCGCACGTTTCTATAACGTTTATAAGTATAAATATATATATATATACGCATAGGTTGTATAATAACATTATATTATCATGTATTTCCGTCGGTGGACTTCTTTCCGCCGCTCGCCGACCGACTAATATTATATATTGATACCGTTGCAGAATATAATAATAATAATATGTGTAAGTTATTATAACCTATATGGCTATATAGTAACTTGGCAACCTTTATATTACTGTTATAATAATAATATTGTATTGTCATAGAAACCGTTTCGGCCGCGACAGTACGACACTATACACACTAATATAATATCATTATAAATACGTACATAATATATAGCTGCGGTGGTATATATAGGAAACTGGTGATGGATGCCATCCCCCCCCCCCCGACCATCCATATATAATATACGAGCATTTATACCTACATATTTATCTCATTACCCTATAACCTTAAGGGGATTCGATCCGGTGATTTAATAAGGGGTCATGTATAGGCAATTCGATGTATTATAATCGTTTCGCAGTGTGTTTGTGTGCGAAGTAAATGATCATTAGTGTGCGTAGATACGTTAGGAATCAGTGGTTCGCACCCGCATGCACATGTCACATAATAAAATATTTGTTCCAACGAGAAACTAATTTCAATCAATTGAGACCTAAAAGCCTGACAAAAATACGATAACTTAGAATGATCGGATTTTAGTTCTGTAAACATATTTGAATTCATCGTTCTTTTTTCTAGGTTATTGTGGGAGTCGATTTTTGTATAACTGTTTAACTTTTTAAAGAAAGACACAAACAATTTTCAAAAAATTGAGAAACCGAAGTATGATTTAACGTGAATTCTAAAAAAAATATCGAAAATTGATTCCCACAATAACCTAGGAAAATTGTCAATGAACTCGAATCTTTTTACAGAATTGAAATCTGATAATTCTAAGTAGGCGTATTTTTGTCAGGCTTTTAGGTCTAAATCATGAAATAAATACGCTGAATCGAATCCCCTTAAACAGCTCGCAGCTCCCCCTTGCCTGTATACTTATACACATACGAGATGTTTTATTGTAATATTATATACTGCTTCAGCACATATAATAATATATAGTTGATTTATCGTCTGGAACGCTTTGCCAATATAATAATAAATATATATTTATATATATATATATATATATATATATGTTCAACGCGTATACGACTGAACTTGCAATAATTATTGTTATATATTTTTATTTTCCTACCCAGTTTATAATATCGTATACTGTATAGGTACCTATACATTCCTCTCTCCGCGTCACGCACGTCATATAATTTTTATTACATTATTATTCTAATACATCACAAACGTCACACACGCCGCACTCGTATTATTGCCACGCTATACTATAATATATATATATAATGTACAATTTAACCCGAAGTAAATTTAAGTACCTACCTATATATGTATTATAATATATTTTATTATAATATATAGTAGGTACATTAGAACCTATAGTGCGGTGATACGTTATTGTTTCCGGTTAGCCGCGGGGAGGTTTTTGAAAAGTAATTATCACCGTGGCGCGGTGCACAACATATATATACCTAAGTCGTATATTATAATATAGTATACACGAGCGTATACCTATACATGTGTTTATTAATATTAATTCGAAATATACTTAATAACTCATGTGCATCTGTGCAGGCGTTACCGTTTGTACCGCTCCGGACAAATTACCAATATCAAAACGCATAACATATATCTGCAGATGTATAGTTTAGAGATTATTGAGTTTTGAACACCGCCGCAAATATTCGAGTACATTTTTAATTTTTAAACAAAATTACAGAGGATAAACTAGTCTTATCGTTTATTTATGTCTGATAAATGTCTCGTAAAATACTTCTATACAAACTTTAACGAAACTCCTAGACCCTAGTTACCAACCGATTGTATTCACCATTTAAGAAGACGTCGCACAGCATCATATTATGTTGTCTCCGTCTTTCACACGTACGGCACACCAACTTTTACGCTCGGCAGTTACTCCCGTTTAGCTCCGTTAGTTAAAAAAATTAGAGTGAATTGACCTCTTGTAAAATTTAAAGGTGAGATTATTATCTAAGGCATCACTTAGGCTTTTTATTATATTTTAAGTTTAAAGCGAGTTATGATGAGTATTTTAAAATTGTAAATTGTTTGTTCATCTTACAAT